ATTAATATATACAACTAAAATTACTAATAAAGATATGAGCAAGGCCTCATCTTAATATCAAAAAAAAAAAAAAAAACTACCAAGTAGTCATTATATATGCAAATAATATAATATGAATTGCAAATAATAAAAAATAGCTAATTAAAATATTAAAGATAGCAAAAGAATTTTTTAAGATGAATAATATAGAGATAAACAGATCCAAATTAAAGCTATTGATAATGAATACAAAAGTAATAAAAAAAAAAAAAGTGATTTTTGAAAAAAGCAAAATGACAAAAAAAGCAAAGAACAAAATAATTCACTTATTAGAATATGATTAAATAACAGAATGAGTAAAATACTAGTAAATAAGAAAGCTAAAAAAATAATCAGCCAAACAATAAGAGATCTTAGATATAAAAAAATGACAATGAATCAGATTGCATATATAAACAATAAGATAATAATACCAAAATTAAGTTATATGCTATAGCTAATAAAAATATTAGAAAGAAGCATAAATGAAATACACTAACTAATAATAAGTTTAGTAAAACAAAAGAGCAGCTTACAAAGAACATTAGAAAACTGCATAATAAAATACAAAGATCTCAAAAGCTGTAGAACATTATGACAAAAATTTAATAAAACAAATAAGTGACCTATTAGCAAGACTAAATAGACAAGACAGTTTTGGACAATTAACAAAATTAAGCATAACACAAGACTGCCAAAAAGCAGATTTAACAAAAGATATATAGAAAATAGAAGAGATATCAGAAAATATAAAAGTTAAAAAAGTAATTTAGTTTATCTAATATTACTAAAAGCAAAAAAGCTTAATATAAATATAAAAATGTACAACATCTATTTCAACTCTCTCTGATGATCACTTGTACTGAATTTCACACTAACAAAAACAGAAAACTTATTGAAAAAAATAGAAGAGGCTACTAAATAAATAACAGTTTTTTATAAAGGTCAAAGTGGTTCTACTACACTGAACTTCTTTATATATTTAGCAAGCAAACTAAAAGCATGCATATACAAGATAACTGGCAGAAGGCACCCTTGTATAAAAAATTTTAGTAGAAGTCTTAGCTTCTATTAACAAAGTTAAAATAGTAAACCTTATAGGAGAACAATAAGCAAGTTTTCAACATATTCACTAGAAATTTAAGGATACCTGCTAACCGAACACCATTAACATATTTCTCACTTGGTTTTTGATGAAAGTTTTTATAAGAAATAGGAATTTAGCATATCTTTTATGAAAGATCTATAGAAATTGTCCATTTTGGGAATAGGAGAATCATTCCTTTTCTGGAATTAGAAATAACTCTAATTGAAATAAAAGGGTCAGCTGTAAAACTGATAAGAAAGAAATTAAACATCAACATCTCTATTATTGAACAATATTTACATATAGTATAGACCTATTTCTAGAATAGAGACTAAAAGTAGCAGTATTATATAATTTTTACAATTTGCTCTGGCTAGGGCTTCAGCCCTCTTTTTGTTTTTTCTTTTTCTTACTATTACATGTTTGTTTTGCTGTTTTGTTTTAATTTGAGTTTTGTTTATTTACTTTTGGTTTTTTTAGTCATGTTCTTATTTGTATTTAATTTTATAATACCTCTCTTTTTTCAGCTCTTTGAGAAGAAGAAAGAATTTAAAGAAAGGATTGAAGACAGTTAATGTTTGTCTTGAAAGAGAGAAATCCTTTCTGGTATGACTTTAAGTAGCCAGATAAGCAGTTTACTTCTGATTGGAGTAGTGCAGCAGATCGCACTTAGATACCAATAGGGTGGCCAGATGATGCTAGACTTAGTTATTGGGAAAATTCTATGTAATTATTGTATATAGTTTTAAGAATCTTAATAAAGTACTAGCATGGCTGCTTAAGAGCAAAAAAAAATATATATATGCAAGAATGAAAGACAAATTATAAACAATGTTTGAATATAAAACCAAAATGGTTACAGAAAAGAAGTAATATTAAAATAAATAAAACAGACTTAATATATCTAAATCAGCTACTAAATATAAGAGAAGAAAAATTAATTATATAGCAACAACTAAAAAGTTATCAAGATTTATTAAATAAAGAAAAAAAAGCAAAATGGTTTAAAGTAATAGAACTAGAAGTACTCAGTAAACCAGAAAACAAAAAAATTAAAAGTTAATTTGGAACAAATAAACAAAATACTTAAGCAATACAAATGAGATAAAAATATATTTCAGAAAATAAAAAAATAAAAAAATGAGTAATACATGATGCATAGAATCATCAACAGTTAGAAAAGATAGTTAAAAAGAAAAAGAAAATTATTAGTAGAACATTGATAAATACAGAGTAAAAAAAATAAATTAGTTATCAAAATTAACAGATATAAGGATTGTATAAGAAAAGAAAAAAAAAAGTTCAGATCCCTTTATATATATTATATATAGTGGTCTTTGGGAAAACAAAAGTAAAAAAAATAAAAATAAAAGCAGTACTAATTAAAAATCTTATTCTAAAAGAAATACAGAACAGATTGAGGCAACTTCTAAATATAAAATCAAAATAACAGTTTATAAATATAATAACAAAAATAGTTTAAAACATATTTTATAAATAAGTATAGAAAATTCAATACAAAAAAATTAATGAATGAAAGAAAAATGAAGAAATAATAGATAGAATAAAAAGAAAATAAAAAAAAAAAGAAAAGTATCAAGTAAAAAAGAAAAACTAAATTAGCAAATAATAGAAGAAAAAAAAATAAAAGAAAAGAGAAACAAATTAAAAAAGAAGTACAGAAGACAATTTTAGAACTTGTCATGAAAGGAAAAAGACCTTTTTATTATAGACTTTAAGTAGTCAAACTAGTGGCTTATTTTTGCTTAAAATAATATAGCTGATTGCACTTAGGTATTATTAAGATAATTGGACTTAGTTGTTAAAGATATTTATATAATTGTAAATATAATTTTAAAATCTTAATAAAGTACTAGCATAACTACTTAAGATGAAAAAAAAAATATTTTTTTTTCTTTTTTATTTCTAAGTTTAAAATATTATCATTAATTTAATTATAAACTTTAAACAACCTAAATAATATTAACAATTTAGTCAAAGTTAGCTGTTATATACAGTAGATATTTAATTATATATTTAATAATTAACTAATTAAAGTTAATATATACTATACTGTAATTGACTAATGATAGGTTTTAAGCATATAACCTTAAATAAGTATATTTATAGATATGATAATCATGCTTATAAGTATGATGAACATGTCTCAACCTAAGAACTACTTATATAAACATTAAATTTTTTATCTGTATTCTGAATTCTATATATAAGGTTTCAATACAAACCTATAATAAGACTACTAAATATAAAAGACTAAGAAACTAAGAAAATAAAAACCTACTTGGAAATTCTAAGTAATAAAATAATATGAATTTTTAATAATATTACTAGACCATCTGAAACCTCAAAAGGAATAAATAAGATAAATCAGACAACAAAATATATAGAAGAACATATATTAACTAGACTATTAAAAATTATTGAAAAAAAAGAATCTTAGAATATTATACTAAATTATCTGAATTGGTAATCTGAAAAATCTTATAAGTTTAAAATAAGAAGAAGATGTTAGAAAAAGAAGATATCAAAATCTTAATGAACTTTACAAAGATATAACAGTTTAATGATTAGCACTGACTACAAGTAATAACCTAAACCTATTTGCAATTAATCTGCAATTAGTAAGATAAAGATAAATATGAAAACTAAAATGTTTAAATAAAAAATCCACAGGTGGGTTCTAAGTATAACAACTAATGTAGAACCTTCAAGTGAACTACTTAAAATAGACAATAACTAAAGTTGTACAAGTGACTAGTTGTATACTTTTACCATGATTGCCTTTGTAGCTATTATACACAATAGTTATATGCCAACATATTACCAATAAACTTCTGAATCACAAGTACTCACCTCGCCTTAATATTAAAAAAAAAAAAACCTACTTTATAATTTACTTAATAGTCCAAAAGGATTTACTTAATAAAATTTTGTAAAAATTTAAAAAAAAAGATAAATAATGAGTTTTATATACGATTGGTATGAAAATAATTTTCGAGATTATCAAAAGTCACATGACAGGCATTTCGTTTTTGCTAGATTAAAAGCCCAAAGCATATCTTATATTTGGTTTAGTAGCATACAAGAAGTCGCTTTTACGCTTAATAAGCCACGTTTCTGTATCTATTTGTGTCTAGCAGCATGATATATATATCACATCGTAAAATGCTTTCGTTTACTAATATAATTCAGCCTTTGCCAGTGTTTCGCTTTTTATTGGAGTTCGAAGTGTCGTCTTATTCCAGAAGCTTCGTCTCTCGCCAATTGCATTGCCCTTCGTCAGGTGTCTCGCCCTTCGCTAGGGGCTTCGCCTTTCGCCAGGGTTTTGCCATTTCTCCAAGGGGTATCGTCTTTCACCTTTCGCCGACTTTAGGCTTCGTCTTTCACCATTTACGTAAAGTGATTATGCCTAACAATTATAGACAATATCATAGCACTGGTGTATGTTTAGGTAAGTCTTTAATCCCAATTATATACGTTCGGACATCACTTTTATATTGATCAGTAGCATAATCACCTTCCGAACCGAAGCTCAAAAAACTCGAAGATTGATCGCAAAACCTGGTAAAAAAACAATTGAACCAAAACCAATAGCCTACGAAGAAGATAATTTGGATCTGGAAAATACTGACCTATTTCCGATTATCAAAGCTCAATCTGTATCACAATCAACCGCCACCAATTTACCTCCCGGAATAACCCAAAAATTTTATGACTTATATACTCACATTAACGAACGCACTCAACTCACAACCCCATCTCACGAAATGCCACGCCACACTCGTCTCAACAGTTTAATATACCACACGACAACTCGTGCAGAGGCTGAATTGCTCCGTGAAATCGTTGCTCAATGGCGTCGAAAGCTATTACCAATAACTTTAGTAACCTCAAGACTTTTAATAAAAAAATTATGTGAAATCGATGCTCATCATTTAGTATTTGATATGTTAGCCGATAGGTCAAAATATGCTTTAAAGCCAAATGTTGAGATGTTTAGATGGATCATGTTGGCTTATGCGAATGAGGTGGTCAAACTTGTTGAAGAAACCACACGAATTATTAAAAGTGAAGATAAAAGTGAAGATAAAAGTGAAGATAAAAGTGAAGATAAAAGTGATGCAGAATTGGTATTAGATGACTTATACAGAACTTTTGGTTTAATGCCATATTATGACATACCACAATTCGACGTGCATCTTTATACGATCATGTTATCAGCATCTATAAAGTTAGAGTCATGGCAATTGGTTGATGAAGTTGCCAGAGAACTTATAGACTATTTGGACGAATATCACAACCAAGAAAAAGATATATTTAAAGAATATAGTGATGAGGCGAGGATGTCATGGTCAACATCGTGTTTAGAAGTATTAATGTTGTTAGAAAAGTGGTATGGAGAAAATAAGAATTTAATATATGCAGAAAAGTTTAAGAATTTACAAGAACAATGGAATAAAGAAATAAAGAAAATACAAGATTAAGAGAAATCTTTTCGACCATTGTATACAAAACTTCCTTTGTTTAATAGAAACGAAAAAAAAGAGTGAATAACTCTTAATTTCAAACCACTCTAAATTATTAGTGTTAACTATCATAGCTATCATAATATTGCATGAATAATACATTGTTTTAACCCTGATTCAGCAAAAGTATCGGTATTCTTTAACCATTCTTGATTATCCGGTACTAATTAATTTCGTATTTCTATAATACCTACTGGGATATACCCACCCTAAGATGGTGATTCCTAAGTCTCCTCATATATAGAAAATCCTTTATCGATTTTCTATATAGAATAGTTAGTGAATATACTCTATCTTAGGATGGGGTAGAGGCCTGCATTGGGTCCCGTTGCCCGGGCCAGGTCTGAAGCAAATTTTTATAACTGCGGGCCAAAATTTTCAAAATTTTATAATAATTTTTGCGGGCCGGCTGGGCCACAAAAATAGGTAATTTTTGCAGACCCCAGTAGTATTATATAAATTTGATTAACCAATCATACTTTGCAATCACGGGTTTACGATTTCGATTAAAAAGAATCCACGTAGCTCACCTTGAGGCAAAAAAGCACACATGTCACGTGGCTATAGCCTGATTGGTTGATAAGTTGTTGTTTGGGACAATGTGGGGTTTATACCTAATTTGGGTTTGGGGGTCGACCATTTATCATGATCCCAAACCCAATTCAAAACCCAAACCGGGTGTCTTTTCATTATTGCATATCCCAAACCTCATTGACCAATCAAAAATCATGAAAACTTTATACATACAGTATATTATTTTACTAAAGCTACTTAGCTTTAAAATTTCATTTTTGATATATTATTAAAAGTTCTTGGTTTTATAGTTTTCTGTTTTTGAGTAGTGGGTAATTCTGAAACTTCATATATTATTTTACTGTTATAGAGTGGAAGCTTTCTTATTTTTATACTATAACAATGACATAACACAGGGAATCTCTTATAGGTATATGCAGTGTTTAAGAAAGAAGCATAACTTCTGTTAGACATTGTCAAGAAATTATACCCATCTTTGAGGCAGTTTAATAATTATTACATAGTAGTTTATAGTTAAAATTATTTATTAAAAAAAAAAAAAAAAATTATATATAAGTTTATATATAATTAGTATTATTTAAAAAGATCAATGATCTTTCTCTTCTGATCATCATGTTTAGGAAAGAGGATAATTTTGAAAAGACAAAATAAACTCTACTTAGGGTTTTACTAACTTTAAAAATAGTAGCAAAACAGGAGTTCTCCTTCTTGTTCTCAGAAAACATAAAACTTTTATCTTTGAAATCTATAGAAACAAGAAAACTAAACTGATAACAATCTTTTCATCTAAAAAACAACTAACAAAAACAAAAACTAATTTCTTTTTTTAAAAGAGTACTATGGTAACAGAAATCACCTATGATGATTTAACTGTCTCTATACAAGATGACTCCTTGGATAGTATCAGCTAGGATGAACAAGTCATGTTGGAAAATGAAAAAAGATTTTTCAAAGAAAAAAATGATCAAAATAGCAACTCAGTCATATTTAGCTCTAAGACACATCTCGAAAAACAAAATAATAAAGAAAACAAAACAACAATATCTCATATAGAACAAAACAATATGTCTTTTACAAAAACTAATGCAATTAGTATAAACAAAAACAAAGAGGTCTCAAGTAAATCATGTTCAAGTTTATTTGCAAAAGTCAGGAGAAGACAATTAATCTTTTCTTCATTCTCACCAAGAAATAACATAAGATCTAAAAATGATAATGCACTTATACTAGATATTCATAACCTTAATGGTTCATTAAATGAAATTATGATTTCTCTTTATGAGACAGCAGGACATGACATAATTGCTGCTAAGCCATATGTAAACAGAAGATCTCACACTTATTTAGAGTTAATCTTTATTAATGAAGAAAAGCTCAAATACTATATCACAAAAGAGATTAAAATTTATAATTGTACATACTATAGACATATTTTGGTTGATTCTAGAAGATCCTTTTTGCCAATCAAAATCAGAAATGTCCCTTTGGGTAATAAGGAATTTATTTTTGAAAGAATTAAAAATGCTTTTGAGAACTTTGGTAAAATTGTCTCAATTAAGTTATTGTTAATAGAAGGCACCCCTTACCTAACTGACCAATGGGTCATTACCTTTGAGACTACAGAAGACTCAGATTTAAAAAAAAGAATCTCTTGGTTCTATATTTTACTTGACAACAAGATTACTGCAGAATGGCATGTGGTTCCTAAACTTTGCTACTTTTGTGACAATGAGGGACATATTAAAAAAGATTGTAATCAGTACAAGGAAGCTATTGAACTTCGTCATTAATACAAAGAATTTCTTTTTAACAAAAGAAAAGAAAAGCTTTCATTAGTAGATTTAGAAAATTTAAATACAATTTAGCAAGAACAAAACATCCTTTCAGAAAAGATCAGTATCGAAGAACCTCAACAAGAAGAAACCTCACTAAATATGACTATCAGCCAAAAAAGTGATGAAATAAATAGTACCATACTAGCAGAAAAAGATCTCATTAGTTCAGTTGATGAAGTCATGAACAGCATTAAGAATGATGCTTCTGTTATAGAAAATCTAGCTACAGGTTCTTCTATGGAAATTGAAAAACCAAAAGCTCAAAGCACTCCAGTTGTGCTAATTACAAATAACAACAAGCTACAACTTCAATCAAAGAATTCAGATGATGGTTTTACTTTAATTTTACAAATGAAAAAAAAGGACAAAAAAAATAAAAAAAACCTTATAAATCAGAAAAGTGAAATAACCAGACCTGCTTCATACAATAAACCTCATAATAGAGTACAGAATTCACAGATCTGAAATCTGTATTACTTTGCTTTAATATGACTGGACAATTTAAATTTAAAATTGCAAGCCTTAATGTAAAGGGGCTTAATAATTAACAAAAACAATGAAACACTTTAACTCTTCTGAAATCTTACAAACTAGACCTTATTATATTACAAGAAACAAACTTAAATGACAAAAACACACAGAGCTTTCTTAAAATCAGTGGATCTTCGATTCAATCTGGTCAAACAAGACAGCTATACTTGCAGACAACAAAGATATAATATTCAAAAACATAAAAATAGATTTAAACAATAGAATTATTACTACTACTTTCAAATTCAAGAATCTTACATTCCAAATATTCAATATATACACACCTCCTAATCCAAACAATAAAAAACTCTTCTTTGAAAAATGGTTACTACAAGTTAATGAAAATGCTATCAACATAATCGGAGGTAACTTCAATACCAACTTATATTCTGAAAAGGATAGAACTAGTAAAGCAGCATCTCAACAAGACCCAACAAGATTGCAACTTCTAAGTCTTACTAAAAACTTTACAGACACCTCAGATTTTGCCAAATCAAGATCTTTTTATATATTTTTTCAAAAAACACAAGGCAATCAGACTATGACTACACATTTAGATTATATTTTAATTGATGAAAATAATGCACACCTTATCTCACAAATTGATACTAAGTTTGGCAACTCAGATTATCTTCTGGTAAAATGCACTCTTTTCTTTAAAGCCAAAGGAAGGGAGTCAGCTCTCTGGAGATTTAACAAAAGCTGCTTCTTAAATGAAAAATTGAAAAAAGAAGTACTAGAAAAAATCTTAGAATTTGGAAAAGCTAATGAATAGGACTTCTGTAAAGTCTGTATTCAATCTATTATAAGAGCATTTAGAAAGCCAAAAGCTACTGAAAACAAAATCATGAAGCTAAATAAAAATATAACTCAGTTGAAGGAATGACTAGTTTACAACTCAGAAAATTTTTTTCTATACAATTAGATAGATAGACTAAGTCTAAACCTCCAAGATGAACTATTACATTTTACAGAAAAATGACAAATACGCTCAAAAGCACAATGAATTGAGCAGGAAGAAAAATCTACAAAATACTTCTTCACTAGATATAAAATCAGAAAAGCTTATTCGTTTTTAAAGAACATCAAGGATTCTAAGACCTCATCACAATCATATAAAAATACTTTTCAATATATTAGAGATACATATACCAAAATCTATAAGAAAGAAGATATAAATATTAACTTAGTCAAAAAGATTACAGAAAATCTGCCTCAAACCTCATCAGCTCACAACTCAATACTTATTTGAGAAATTACTCAAAAAGAAATCAGCAATGTTATTAAAAACCTTCCAACCAACAAAACTCCAGGTACTGATAATCTAACATATAAGTTCTACAAACTTACTGAAAAGACCATAACTTCTATCTTATATAAAGTATTCAATCAAGCACTAAACTTAGGAATCATGCCAGCCTCTTGATGCAAGAGTTTGATTTCTCTAATACCTAAAAAATCAACAGATTTGGAAAATATAAAATAACTGGAGACTGATATCTTTAGTAAACAGTGATACAAAAATATTCATGAAGATTATAGCTAATCGACTAAATTCTACTTACAAAAAACTTATACCACATCAGCAGCATGGATTTATTCAAAATAGATCTATTACAGATGCAGCACTGAATATATTACAACTATAAGAAACCAGCCAGACTCATTTAAACAGCATTGGCTACTTTTTGTTGACCAACAAAAAGCCTTTAACTGAGTCAGCCATGACTTTTTAAAGCTTACTTTAGAAAATATGAACTTTGATACTAAATTTATTAATCTAGTTTATAATCTCTTTTCCTTCCAAGAAGCTTATATTATTAAGACAAGCAATATCTCTAAACTATTCAAAGTCGAAAGAGGAGTTAGACAAGGTGATCCTCTCTTACCACTGCTATATATATTAGCTTTTAAGCCTTTTATAAGAACTCTGGAAAGACAAATGCAAGAAATTAAATTAGAAAATCAATATTTCAAAACCTCAGCATATACTGATAACTTGACTATAGGAATTGGATCTCCTTTTGACTGGAACAAAGTACAAGCTTTGATAAGCTT